CTACTACTGCTACTACCAGTGCTGCTGCTGCTGCTGCTGCTGCTGCTACCGCTACTACGACTTCTACTGCTGCTGCTGCTGCTGCTGCTGCTACCGCTACTACGACTTCTACTGCTGCTGCTGATGCTGCTACTACTACTACTACTACTACTACTACGACTAGTACTTCTGTTACGACGACGACGACTACTACTACACCTACTACCTTCTGCGTACTGCGACTGCAAGGACGGCGACGGCTGCCAGACACAACACCACCGGTGGCACCAGCAGCGTAGCAACACGACATAGCACGACAACTCTTACTAGAGCCATTACCGCGGCTCCCCGTACATCTGCTACTTTAGCATCAGCGAGATTCCACATTCGTAGAGCAGTGTCACTGATGCAGGATGTACAACCTTTTCGTATCAAGTCAATGCATCAACTCTCCTCCCGTTTGCCATTTGTATCTGTGCATGCATGTCTGCTTGCATAAGCATGCATGCCTGCATGCATGCATGGATGTACGGATGTATGTATGCATGTATGTATGTATGTATGTATGTACGTACGTACGTACTTACGTATGTGTGTGTAGGTGTATGTGTGTATGTATGTTTGCATGTTTGTATGACTGAATATAATATGTTCCTGCATGTCTGTATGTCTGCATGTATGGATGTATGTATATCTGTATGGGTGTAGGTAGGTAGGTAGGTAGGTAGGCAGGCAGGCTGGCGGCCAGGTAGGTAGCTAGGTAGCTGGGTAGCTAGGTATGTAGGTATGTAGGTATGTAGGTATGTATGATGTGGTTTGGGTGGACTTTCCCTGTGAAGCCTTCAAGCCTTCTCAGAGGCCGGGCAAAATCTCGACGTGGTGGCATCAGTTCCTGAAGCTTCGGCAACAGAAGGGCTTGGAGGCTGCGGCCACTGACAAACCAGTGATTGCAGCAGCCTTGGAAGGAAGTCTCGCGAGTAGCTTTCTGTGCAACGGCTGGATAGCTGAGGTGCTGCCGAAGCTGAACCATTCGGACTTCTGTCCCGGCTTTGATGTGCCCGGGGACCTTCCTGCAGAGGTCCTGTGTGCGTCTCGTTCACGGTGTAACGTCCGGCATTCGAAGCAGCAGGTGGGACAGCAGGAGGCGACGCGTGGCTTGGCCCTGAAGCCGGGAGCGGCAAAAAGAGCATTGGTGATTGGTGATTGGGGTCTCGAGTCAGTGTAGCTGGACTCGAGGCACCATTGGTGAGACAGTCTCCGCTTTTGTGGCACTCCATTGGAAGGGAGCAGAAGCAAAGAAAGCTTCAGTGCGGGGCTTAGTCTCTCTATTAGGAAGCTTGAGATTTCGGGATGTAGCGTGCTTTGGTCAGGCCCTTGAGCTCCTGAAGAGCCAGCTGGCGTGGACGGAAGGTCTTTTGAGTCCCTACCTCGAGGTGTGCAGTCTAGCCATTTGTTTGCGTAGATGAGAACGATTTGGGTAGTTCGTGTTTTCTCATGCCAGGCACAAGACTTGGAGAGGACGGCAGCGGACCACAACGTAAGCTCAGAAGGCAGCTTCGACCTTTGAGAGCTCACTTGGGTTTTCAGGGATCTGGGAGTGGGCTAAGAAGCGTTTTGGAGGTTTCTGTGTGCGTTTATTCGTCGTGGCAGCTTCGGGGCACCCCTCAAAGCCGAAGCGAAACACACGTGAGACCTGGGATTTCCTGGCCGGAAAAAGGGCGGCCTGGGCCAGGCTGAGGCCTTAGCCTTCGCCTTAGCCTCGGGTGTGTGTTACACGGTTCTTTCGCCTCGCCATCCCCGCTCGCCCTTTGCCTCTTCGTCAGACCCGCTCTGCCCGGGCCTTTGCCGGCAGGCTCGAGCCCTTTCTGCAGCCGGGCTCAACATGTCCTGGCCGGCCTCAGTGCAGCGGACGCCCAGCGGTTGCAGGCTGCGGTTCGCGGCTCCCGAAAGAGACACGAGGGGCAGTTGCAGCATGGTGACTCCATGTGACTGTGGTATTCTCGTGACGCAGGGTACTCTCCGCAGGTGCGCCTGTGCATCGATCTTCCACTGCCCATCACGCTGTTATAAGAGCATGGTGGGCATAGTGCTCTGAGCATGCAGCATCCTGCAGCAAGACATGTGCAACATTCCTGAAGCCCTGGCAGATTGGCAGAACAAGTTTATGGGCAAACTGTCCTCGGACTCCTCCAGAATCTATAGAATCCGAAATCCTGAACCAAAATTCAAAATCCTTCCATAGCCGCTTTGTATATAGCTGGAAGGTCCAAGACGGCTTCCACATCACGTCTCCCAATCTGGAGCACTGCCATCCGACGTGGACTGCAGGGTCCTCAGGAAAACCGCCGCAGCTTAACCGGAAATAGACAAAACGAAAAGGAGGACGAAGCCCGAATGAGGAGTTGAATCTCCTCCGGAAGTTTGGAACCCTGCCCTTGTTTGCCCCTTTTCTTTGCAGCGAAATTAGCGTTTGCGGGGCGATTGGACTATGAGGTGGACGGGAAGAAGCTTCTGGTCCGATCGTGCAGCCACACGAACTACTATCCCGACATCAGTATCGCGGCAGCATGAGAATACCATTGACCGGCACGCCTTCAGATGAGAGTGGTTGAGATTCCTTGCAAAACCGGGGGCTGAGAAACTGCAGTGCCAGTCGAGAGGGGCTCCTCTCTCCTACTGCTCTTATGTCCTGCAGAAGAAGAAGGGAGAGTGTGAGAGATGCAGAGAGCGTAGTCAGGGGCTTCGTGAGCCACGCTGAACCCAATAAGGCAACACCGGCAAAATCACGGCGGCCGAGGAGATAGGTTGCAAGTTGCTGTCGGCAGAGCGTGTTGCCCAGCAGCTCCAGGCCGCTGAGCAACTACCAAATGCTTGTTTCAAGATGAGACTGTGCGCTTGGCGATGTGGTCTTGACGAAAGCCGAGCTAGACTTTGCGATTCAACGAGGGAGCAATGAGAGCAAGCTTTGTGCCTTTGTGCAGAACCCGCCATGATTTTGTAAGCGGGGCTGCACCATGTTGTCTCCGGCCAGACGCACGCTGAGCATCAACGGTTACCCTGCGCCGCCATGAACCGAGTCGCCGTGCAAGTAGCCGAACAGTGTCTTGCCTGCTATCATGGTACCACGACCACAACCAGCACCAGCCATGTCCTCCTCCTCCTCCTCGTCATAGTCGTCGTCGTCGTCGTC